CCTTTGCTTAACAAAAAAGTGAGTGTCCTGGAAACATCTTGATGTTCTGGATGTGCTTTCAAAATGATAGCATAAATATTTGGCAGCTTAAATTTTTTAAAAAGGGACCAATTTTTCTTTTCCCCATTTTATTAATCCATTCTTATCTCCTAGGTTTTGATAAGCTTATCTGTTAACTTCAAGCGGTTGGTTTCTGCCCCAAAATCTAGAAATCCTACATTTGTTTTTTTCCCCAGTCAGTTGATTGTATTCATCTCTGGTTTTGCCTACACAGCTTACATAAGTATTTCAGTAGCAATCAGTTTTCCCCTTATCATCTTGCTCTTGAATTGGAAGCTTTTTTTCCTCTCTTGGAATATAGAATAACTTGTGTGTTATGGCTTTGGAGTTCATATTATTGGATTACACCAGGGGTAGTGAACCTTGGCTCTTTTATGACTCGTGGACTTCAACTCCCAGAATTCCTGAGCCAAGGTTGACTACCCCTGGGTTACACTGTGCACCCTTTGAAATTGATTTCTGATCTTGCACAAATGTAATTACCTCTCTACTGGTTCATTAAAGCATAGACATCTTTTGCATTTTTCAGTGAGGAACTGAAAAAAATCACTTGTGCTTCAATAAATATCATAAATTCATACCCAATGTCGTAAATTTCTAAAAGAGTGAAATAGGAAACAGGGTACTAGGCACAGTTTTTATTGCATTGTATGGTCATATTTGAATCGGGTCCATATTCTTAACAGAATTCACAAGTAACAGATGCCTGGAACAAGATTGCTCATTCGTTTAACTGCACGCCAATAGAAGGTAAGAGTTGGCTTGATGAAGAGTGAAGTTGATGCAGAATAATACAGGTGGTCCTTGACTTAACGACTGTAATCGAGCCCACCCATTATGGCAATAAGTTGTGATGGCCATTAAGCGAGGTGCCTTTGTGATTGTCTTGCTTAATGATCCCAAGCCCTGCTCTCCCCATTGCAGTTGCTAAATGACCGCATAGGTTATTAACTGGAGTAGGGGGCACCTTGTGGGGGGAAGCCTAGTACAGGCCAAGCCCACCACTGCAGCATCTCCCAAGCTTACGTGTGGCCTACCCTGGGCTTCCGAGGACTTCCTCCACCCTGAGACACAACATTCTCCTCTTTCCACCTAGCTCAGGGGTCTTCAAACTTGGCCCTTTTATGACTTGTGGACTTCAACTCCCAGAATTCCTCAGCCAGTGTGCCTGGCTGAGGAATTCTGGGAGTTGAAGTCCACAAGTCATAAAAGGGCCAAGTTTGAAGACCTCTTGCCCTAGCTGGATCCCCACAGGCCTTGGGCCTGCTTCCCATCTCTCTGGGTCTCATACCTTCCTCCCCACCTCCTCTCTTAGAACATGCCACTTACTGTAAATTCCTTTGGGAAGCAGCCATTCCACCATGAGGCCTCCCTATATTATATAACAGGGCTTTTCAAACTTTTCACAGATTTTACCACTTTTAGGACATGACAATATTCGAGTAACACCAGTGCTTAGCAAGGTGTCAAAAACTTGATGACTAAAAAGGGGGGTGGATTTTGAGTTTGATTGATTAGATTCATTTGTTGTTATAGAAATGTCTAGTTTATAATATTATGGAAAAGTAAAAAGTTGAGGTTCGGTAATGTTTCATTCTATTGCAAGCGAGGAAGTCGGAAGTCAATGCCTTTTCTTTTTTCCTTCTCCCCCTCACTTTTCCCCCCCTTCTTCCTCCCCACTGTGTCCCAGTATTTGCTTTTGAATTTTTGTATTTTATTCCATAACCTAATAAAATGTTACAAACCGTAGAAGGGAAAAAGTACCGGTTTTAATTTCTTTAGTGGCGGTTCCTTTGCGCTCAGGCCACGTGGAGGACCCCTGGCAGTGCAGGCTGCCCAGAGCCCTGGGCAGTGGAGGGCAAGCACCCAGCTCAGCCCAGCCTTCTCCAAGGGGGGCCCAGCTGCACTTACCTTCTCCTTGAGGCCAGCTGCTGCTTGGCTCGCTCTTTTTGGCCAGGTTGCTCATGGTGTGTGCGGGAGGGCAAAATGCGTGGGTCAGAGGGAAGCCCAATCTCTCTCCCTGCGAGGAGACCCGGCTTTGTAACCAAAGCATCCTCAGCAATAGGATGGGAGACCACCAGGAGAGTCAGGAGGAGGGGACAAGGGGATGGCACAAGGGCAGCAGGGCTGGTTGTGGCCAAGTGCTAAGGCAGGACTTCCCTCAGACCCTCCCTCCCTCTCATTATAATCTTCCCCCCTTCTTTTTCCTTCCCACTTTATTCTCCTTTCTTTTTTCTTCCTTCTCCTCTTTCCTTCTTTTTCTTTCCTTGCTCTCTTCCCTCTTTCCTTCTTTTTCTTCGTTTTTCCTCTTCCCCTTTCTCCTTTCCTGTCCCTTCTTGGATGCTCAAATGCAAAAGGGGAAACATTTCTCAGTGCCTCCTTGCCTTGTGATCAAATGCCACTTTTGCTAGTAGTTTGTGGCCACTTAAAAGATTGAGAACAAACCAGGCTCAGTGTATCCCGTGTTTGCATTTAGCGGGGGCGTCCACAGACGGCAGTAGAGCAAAACTGTCAAAACTGTGGCTGTGATAGTTGATCAGAGCTCCTCCGTTTTTTATGTGCGACAGCTTTAGCATTTAGGAACAGAGGTAGCTTAGTTGCTTTTTTATTAATACATAATCCTTAAAAGAGCTCTCTTGTAGGGACCCTGCCTTGGTCTAATTCAGACTGGAAAAATAGCAGAGGAAAATATTTTTTCCCACTCTGCTTTGTCCTGTTTTCCCCACTGGAAATGGCTGTTAGCAACACACAAGAAGGAGATACTTTCCTAAGAGCTCACAATTCAAGAATACCAATGTTAACTTGGATTGCCAACAAAGTTCTGTCTGTGACAAAACAGAACACAAAATTGCTTTCTCCTTTGAACTGGGGCATTTCCAACCAAGTTGCCTCCCCTCCCTCCCTTCCTTTCTTCCTCCCCTGCTTTTTTTTAAAAAAACTGCCAGAGGTTCTGGGCAGAGGTGGCAGCAGGCAGGCAGCAGTGGGCAGAGGCTTCACATTTTGACTCCTCCCCCCTGCCAGTGCCTCTGTGTGGCTCTCAGCTCACCTCTTCCAGACCTGCGCATGTGTTTGTATGTGCACGGGCAGGTGGGGGGTCTCACCCCTTGCAGCCCCGTGCCTCAACAGAGACCTTCTGCGTTGGCAGGCTGCAAACTAATGAAAGCTGGTTTTTCGGAGTACTTGTTTCTTCTTCTCAACGTGCCGCCGATCGCATCCGCCCTGCCTCCCTCTGCTCCTGCCCCCAACCCCATGGAGGGCTGCAAGAAGCTCCCATCGCAGCTTCTCTTATCTCTCCCGTTCTTTTCCTCCCCAATGTCACAGCGTGGGGCTGCAAGACGGGAGGACACATGCGTGCACATACAAACACAATAGGGCAATAAAATGTAACGATCACCTCTGAATAATTACAAAGAATTATACTGCCAACTACCAGTAGCAACAATATCGCATTTTCCTGCATCAGCTACGCTTTGCTTTGGTAATGAGTACAGTCAGACATTTAGGCAAAAAGTGTATTTCTGGTCAAAACATGGGGTGCCTTGAAATCTTAGCATGTAAGCCTACCTTACAATACCAATACTAACATAAGCCCTTTTCTTGATAGGCATGCTATCACACCAGCTAAAACAGCATGTGATAGATGGAGAGAAGACCATCATCCAGAATCCTTCAGACCAACAAAGGTATGAGACAATTTAGATGCCAACCTGTTTTTAGAATTTGTTTGTGTGTGTGGGGGGGGGTGTTAATGAATTTTGATGAAAAATGAAATCCACGATTTTCAATTAGTAGTTTATTATTCTGCAACTTTCCAAACCCTGTTCAGATGGAAATGTCTTTATATGTTTATTCCTCATCCAGAAAGGACCATGAAAAAGCAGAGTTTGAGGTTCATGAAGTTTATGCCATTGATGTTCTTATCAGCACTGGAGAAGGAAAAGTAAGTCTGTTTTATATCTCCCCTGTAAGTGGATATTCCAAAGAGACCTAACCTCATATAAAATAATATAATGTAATTTTATATAATAAAATATATCCCTGACTAGGTTGCTTGGCCTGATGTCTTGGGAAATCCACAAGTTGCTAATTCCTACAGAATTAATGAAAGTTAACAGAGTGGTGGGTTTCTGTGTTGGACTCCCTCTTCATATCATTGATCAGGATATTCAGATGCTCAAGGATTGTGCTGTTCTGTTATAGTCCTGATGTTTTAAGAAAGTCAATAAATTTGATCTTGCCATATTTCCACACAATCAATATTTAAATGTTACTTGTGACGTGGTTGCTATACATTTGCATGAGAAACTGATTGGCTAGATTAGCTAATCTTGGCTGATGAACAAGAAGCTTCAGGACAGGTTGAACAACATTAGATCAATATTATTCTAAGTCATCTGGTGGAAAAATAATTCTTTCATTCTCGAGATTCCCTTTATGTCACCCTTGCAATTTGAAGGCAGCTTTTGATTCATTGTGGTGAAAAATATGACAGTAAATAGAGGACTTTTTGCTTCAATTTCTACTATAAGAAGAGGCTGTATCCTGGCCTGCTTTAAACTTACCGTATTTATTCGAGTATAACGCGCACACGTGTATAACGCGCACCCCTAATTTTCGATTAAAAATGAAGCGTCATATGCAGAACGTTTTCTCCTCATACCCTGAGTTGCCATCTAACAGGAAAGGGAAGTGCATCTCGCCAGTTTGGGCCGCCCCCTGTACGCGACGAGGGGACGTTTTTTTTTCTTCGCCCTCGC